GCGCGCCTACTGAACGTGGTGGCGCAGCTATTGAACGTACCGTGATGGCGCAGCTATTAAACGTGATGACGCGTGTTGTATGGTTGGCTAGACATGCCTACTAATTCGGTCCAAATTTTAATTAATTCATAAAAAATTAATTAGGCATCCAATTAAGTCAAATTTAATTTCAGATTGCATTGTCTTCATGTCTTGACCCACGTTCCAAGTGTGAATCGTATCGGTCAAGTAGAACTGTCCGAATTTTCACTCCTGCGTTTCTATCTAGACTGACGACTGACGACAGACAGAGGAAGTGAGTTAAATAAAAGCTTGTAAAAAAAAATTCATAAAAAACGTTTTAATAACAAGCTTTTATGTAACAATGCACTAAAAAGTAGAAAATAAATTATAGACTACTATTTAAATAACTATAAAGAAAAGCGTGGGTGTCTTCCTTAACATTAGTAAAGGTATCCAATAGATACTAAAGTGACCCACGCTTTTCTTTAAAATCGTTTCAAACTAAATTATCTGCCCCTAATAGACGTCACTAAACCCGGCTCTACTAATGTAAACATTTAGCGTGAACCACAGCTCCCCAGACCATGTAGGGGTGGGGTGATAGGGAGCGCGCTTACAGCTTGTTTTCTAGTGTCTCCCAGAAGAGAATTATATATATAGATTATAATAAAATTAACCATGTTTATATTAAGCTGCTTAAGCAGTAATGGAGCCCAACTGTTGTAAAATTTAGACTGTCTAGCCTTGAAGAAAGTCTTGTTGTTCAATATCATTGTTTGTGTTTCCCTGCAAGGACTATAAAAATATTTCTCATTCAGACTTTTATTAGAAGAACCTTAGTTGTCAGTAACATTTTCTATTATTACTAATAATATTACAAGATTTTTAATTACATTTTTAATTTTAAATAATTAAAGAGTATCAAATATTTATCTTTCAGCTCTAAATGTTTGGTCAAGTGGATACCTCTGATTAATTTAATAACTCTAGTGTTATAGAACAAACAGAAAATGAGAGAGCAAGTAGGTCACTGTGACATCTGTTCAAGAACATTTTCATCTTTTGAAAGATTACGAACACATCTATATATATAATTCTCTTCTTCGAGCCGTTAGAAAACAAGCTGCAACCTCGCCTTACAGTCCCCTCTCTTCCTCTATATCAATATCACAACCACCCCCACCCCGCCCCCACATTGTCTGGTGAGTTGTGTTCACTCTGTTTACATTTTACAATCACAGAGACGGGTTTGGTGACGGCTATTAGGGGCAGATAATTTAGTTTGAAACGATTTTAAACTTAGAGGAGGTAACTAAGAGGAGGCTGCTTTCACGTGGGGGGGGGGGGGTAGTGTTTTTAAGCAAATATTTTCAATGGCAGCATTGGTACTGTCGAATTCACAAATTATAAATTACTGAAAAGTAGAAAAAAAACAACTAAATAGCGGCGTATGATACGCAGCGGGTCGGCTCGTTGGAATAAAAAGCACACAGAAGTGCAAGCTATAAGCTGTTGTTTTTGTGATTTTATAGTTGCAGAGGAGCCATTGTTTGCTACACATAAAAAGGAATTTCATCCAAAGGATAGGATGGCCTGTGAGTTTTGTGCATATACCACAGGAAAATAGAGTAAGCTGAAAAAACATCACATAAAAGTTCATGTGGCTCTATCAAAAGAAAACATTGTTTCTGATTTACTAAAGGACAATTTCAGAGAGGAAACCATGATATCTTCATGTAAATACCCACCAGATTACAGATCCACTTCTTCAAATTGTGGAAATGTAGAAGTCAAGTGCTCAATACTGAAGGAGAAAGAAAATGTATCATTAACTAATGAAAAGATAGCTGAGTTGTACCACAATATGTTCAAAACATGTGAAAAGTTGCAGTTAAATCATGAAAATAAAACAACTGGACCTCAAAAGTTACAGACTTTAACTGGGCAAAAATGTGAATGTGGTCTGGAGAATTATACAACTTGTCAACTATACCATAATGATGAACAGAGAGGCAGTGATCCTCCAACTGAGATTTCTGTGTGTGACATTTGCCAAAAAAGTTTTAAATCCTTATCTCATTTGGCTTCTCATAAAATTGTACACACTCCATTGAAATGTTACATATGTTGCCACTGTGATAAAAGTTATAACATTGGAGATGAATATGATCTACACTTAGCAACACATTTTAGGTATAAGCCATTTAAATGTGAAATTTGTGAAAAATGTTATGCAGATAAACAATACCTAAAAGCTCACATTAGATTACATAATGGAGAATCAATTCACAAATGTGAGAAGTGCCATTACACGTCACCTTATCTGTGTCGGCTAAAACAACATCAAAAGATTCATCTAAACCTTCAATCAGTTGAGGGTGTTGAAAATGTACAAAATTGTGATATTTGCCAAAAAAAGCTTTGTTTCTATAGCTCACCATTTGTCCCATCAACTGATACATACACCTTTGCAGCTTTACATATGTAGTCATTGTGACAGGCTTTAACTTACCAGATGAATATGACCTGCACCTTGTAAAGAGACATTTCAGGTACATTTAATCTCACACAAACGGCATATTCATCTAGTTTAACCATACTACTGAAGACACACTACGAACAATGTTATCATGTGTAGTTAATCAAGGTATGTTGGTGTTGGTGCGAAAGATGTGATGATGACATAATGATGAAAGATAGTGACGTTTTGTGTAGAAACTGGTTGCTGTGTATTGTGTGCGTTAATCTTAGTCTTGGTGAAAGGGTGTATATGACCAGTGTGACTCTGTAGAGTGAATCGTGAGACGTTCATGTGGATGACGATTATAAGCAGAATGTGTTTAATAAATATCAGAAGAAAAACCTATTTTCATCTTGTCAATAAATTGTCACCTGTGTCGTCTAGACGTGTAATGTTATAATGACTGCCTATGTTGTCTGATATTCTCACATGGTAATGAACCAAGTAGTTCAACCCTCTCACAATCGAAAAATCTATATATATAATTCTCCTCTGCGAGCTGTTAGAAAACAAGCTGCAAACGCGCTCCCTACCTCCCCACCCCTACATGGTTTTAGTGAGCTGTGTTCACTCTAAATGTTTACAAGCAGAGCCAACGATTTTAAACGTAGGGGGGGGGGGGGGGAGGAGGGGGGGTTATGGTCCTTAACGAGCCACTTATAGTGTTTTAAAGAAATATTTTCAGTGGCAGCGTTGGTACTGTCGAATTCACAAATTATGAATTACTGAAAAGTAGAAATAACAACAACTAATAAGCGGCGTATGTTATGCCGCGGGCCGGCTCGTATATTATAAAACTGATGTGACTGAAGAAATGTAAATTTATGCTGCAATTTTTAATTTTTTTTATTGACATTGGTAGTAAAAACACTGGTGTTTTTTTTTTTTTTTTGCATGGCTCCAATTCTGTTTATACCCAATCACAGTTAGATGAGGGGGGGGGGGGGGATTGTAAAATGTTTAATTTGCTCAAGTTACAGCTATTTCCAACAATGGGCTTGTGTCTCTTTCAATACCATCATACTGCAAAGTTTGTTTTTTTTACTTTTTAAAAGTTTTTTTAGATCTGCTTGTCACATATCAAGAAATGTATTGTGTTATTTATTGGAAGTCTGTGTTATCTTCTTTCTATTTGAAGCTTATCTGAAGTTTTGGTAACTGTATTTTCTTATATAACTAGTAATTTGATTTATGTAAACACATTTACTAGTAATAGCTAAGCCGTATAGGCTTTTATGTTCTTTTCTTTAACATATGATAAAGCTTTTCTATTGCTTATGATATACATTGAAATTTATTGGACACATAAGAAAATAAACTTGTTAATTAACAGTTCTTCTGAAATATCTGCAGCGATGTAACACCTCGTCAATCTCTGTTGAGGCTACATCATAGGATTAATTTAAACCCATAACGAGACAAATGGTGTTGAAAAATTACACACTTGATTCTTTATGTCATCGTATCAACTTTATATGTAGTTATCAAACCAATAAAGCATTTTGATAGTAGTGACAGTTTAATTTTGGATGATGACTGTTACACTTGCTTTTCTTTTAAACTCTTAATATTATTTAAGTTATTTATTTAAGTTCCTGTAAATTATCAAACTTTATTTAAATTACCACAATTTCTATCAATTTTAAAAAGCATTAGTATTTTGCACAATTAAGGTCTTAATGTTTTGTACTGGGCTTTGTGCATCAGTAGAAGTGATGTCACAATTAGCAGTCTTTTAACACTATCTTAACCAAATTCTCCTCTTTATTTCTAAAGAGCTAATTATTACACAAATATTTTTTTTTAAATTTTTTTTTAAATTTACATTAATTTGGTTTTAAATTGTAAATTAAATACTTAAATTCTGTCTAATCTTAAATATATGCCTATTTCTGTTTTTTTATTTACCTGTTGGATTCTTTAAATTTGTTAATTATGTTTATAAATTGTGACATAAATTTTTTTCTCAGATGTAAACAATATTGTTGAGATTCATTTCTAATTGCGTTTGTGTTGAGGTTGTATTTTTCATATTGTATGTGGCCAGCTATTAACTGTTTTGATAAATAAACTAATAGTATTTACAAAATTAAGTTTCGAACTTGAATGCAGGTTAAATTAATGTATGTGGCATGTGGTTAAATAAACTAACAGTATTTACTAAAATAAGTCTCGAGTTTGAATGCAGGTTAAAGTCAGTAGAACGTTCCAGAGTTCACCCAGCTCTGATGTGTACCTGACTCACATTATGGAAAGCAAAGACGGCTGGGCATAGTGCTGACCACACTAACCCTTTAGGTGCTGAAGTCTCTGAAAAATGAACTCTACTTCATGTTCTTGGACACGAAAAGAAGATGATGATTCACATAAAGACTAAGAATAAATGACCATATTTCATTTGATGAGACTAAACCTATGTAATTGACCATATTATCTATATACCCTTCCCTAGGTCAGTGCAACCGTGGTGAAACCCACGGTGGTTAAATCTTATCCTTAACCTTAGTCTAAATAAAAACACAAACCACTAAAAATAAAACAAAAAAACTTTAACAATTTACAGAATTTATTGCATGAAATAAAATGGAACAAAAAAAAACGTAAACATTAAGTCAAATTCAAAACATCCTAATGCAACACTAAACAATCACCAAACAAACAAAACAACGTTCAATGGAATATTATGTACCTTCGGTACCTCGGAGTCTAGGCTCTGAAAACACAGACAACCATCCTTACCAGTACTGCCACCGAAACGCCATCTAATATCCGCACCAAACATCAAACAAAACAATCCATACAAATCAAGCCAAGTTGCACAAACAACTTCACTGGAAGGGGGAGGGGAGAGAAAAAAGAAAAGGAAAACAAGAAAATGCATGGAAAAATATATATACATCAATATACATATGTTTATATACTACTGACTACTACTAAAGATATCTAAAGCCTCGAGTAAAATACTAATAACTACTACTACCACTAATCCTAGAATACTAAATCAATTCTCAAAACCACAATAAATCACTGTCTAACCAAGAAATTAGCCAATTAAAAATAACGTGCAATAAAAATCATCATTATAGAACCAATTTATCCTACACAATGAGCAGCACGAAGCCATTGGTCTACCTATACAACATCCACACTGATAACAATAAAGTTAACACACCCCGCTAAGGCCCCAAATAGAGGTAGACACAAAGCAAGTGACTCAACAAGACGTTGTAATAAACATCACACACATTAATTTTACAGCAACCTAAAACTCGAGGCAAACTAAAATACACTCATTACTGTCTAAGACAACCACAACAAAATTACTTGTGACTGAGCCCAACTTAGTCATTGTGGGGAACCCACAATAACAATACTTTAAAATAAAAAAGTAAAATACACAAACACACTCAAACCAGTTTTGGAAACCATCCTAAACATAGTGACCTAAACCACGTGGTCTAAAACACGCCAAGGGTTTTAGAAAATACCAAAATACATTTCAAATCTTTCAAAAAAAGAACACACACCACGAGTATACCAGGCAAGCCGATGCCCACTATCTCTTTTTAGACGAAAAAGAAAGAAAACGAGAAACATCGGCAGGCGCTTTCATACAAATCACACATATACAAATACAATAAAAAACACAAATACCTTCATGCACGAGGTGAGCCCACACAGAAACTGACCTGATCTACATCTCGCCTCGGGTCAAAAGAAAGAAATTATCCAAGCGGTAAGTTTTTATACTGACCGCTTCGTGCGGAACGGGAAACCCTGTAGCCGCTGTCAAGTGGACCATTCACGCAGATTCGCACACAATAAAATAATACAAAATAAGACATCCATTTACCCGCTCACACTAACATTAGTAACAAACAAATGTTGTCCGACACTGACCTTACCTAACTTGCAGGTACAGGCTTTGGAGCATCACAAGAGAGGAAAATACACCCCAGCATTCAAAACACATTGGCCTCATTGGAATTTACATACAGAAAGTGTTGTGAGAAAAACAATAATAATAAAATTTGACACACACTTTAGCCATTTTATTTCTTAAAATTTTCACGTTACAATTTGTAATAATTCACTGCTTTAGAATTTAGATTACAAGGCTATTGTTTTAATAGTAAGGAATAATAAATTATATAATAACTAGCCAAAATTACATTACGTTGAAACTAAGATACCAAAATGTAACAATTGCAGCTCTAGTCTTTCTTTTCTTCAAATTTATAATTTTTATGCTGTTTTAGTAAAAAAAAATTAATGTTAATTTATGACATTGAAATGTTTGGTTAATCTTTAAATTGTATAGCCTTTTGTGAAGAAAATTATTTTATTATCTTTTCAATCACATAGTATGCAGAGAGGAGTCTGAGATTTGGCATAAAGTTCATATTGACTTGAGGTGTAAAGAAAGATAAAATCTACATATAACATGTTACAAATGCATTTAATTTAATAAAATAAAACATTTAGCAAAAGTAAGGAAGTGACCATAAGCCTTAGCAATGGTTGGAGCAACATGAAACTTGGGGTTAGTTCCATAAGACATGTAAATAGGGGAGGGAGAGGAAGTTTTAACATATGGTCTATTTGAGTTATACATTGCAGACAGTATAGTCTGATCATATGATTTGAGATACTATACCTCTCAATATAATAATTAAAGGCATTTAGCTAAGGATGAAAAAGTTTTTACAAAAAAAATTGCTGTCTGCTCAGAAGTTTTGTGGTCAATGTACCTGTTGGCCAGATGCCATTGTGACTGCTGGTCTGATGTCATTGTACTTGTCTAATGGAGGTTGTATTAACTGTCAACCTGATATTCTGTCATGTTGCAGTATGTCTGACTGAGCTGTTTGTGAGTAGTGTAAATGTGTAAAGTTATGAATGAGAATTGTTTTTCAGTACTTATATTGTAAACATCTAGTAAATGTAAATAATACATTGAAGTTAAACAGCGTGTTTTATTTTAGTTAGCTTCTGTTATTGTTAATGTGTAATTGGTTTGATCAGAATTGGTAAACTCCCTTGTCCCAATGAATGTGCATTGTCAATTTTATATAATCTGAAACAGGCAAATTAACTGTGTGGCCTGAACAAAACCATGCGGGTATAAAAATAAAACCCTGGGTCCCTAAAGTGATAGCTTACTTCTCCTATCATACATATTTACACATAACACAAAAAAGAGTAGGATACTTAAAGAAAAAATGTACACATGCAGCTGACAATAGGATGCTATTTCCTTTTACAGTCAGAATACAATTTCTTTTTAGAGTATGTACAATAATTGACGAGGTATACTCTTTGACAAGAGAACCTTTTTATAATACAAACATTTATTAATCATGGCCCACTATTGGAAGTTATGTGCAGAGAAAAATTATAAGAAATTTAATAATAATAATTTGCTATAGATATTAATTTTTTATGTTAAAAAATGACTTTAAATTGGTTTTAAGTCATGATGAATTTTTTTGACTATATGAAGTAAATTTAAAAGAAAATATTTCCTTACCAACATCACATTCCTCTGTCTTGTAGAATGAATTTTTTTAGAGTATTTAAATTTGAGAAAATCGTTTGTGAAAAACATCATTTAGACTACAACTTCTAGAAAACCTTTAATGACATATACCACTTTCATATAGCTTGTCTCATAAATGAACTTTTTCATGTGCACTTAATTGAGAACGTTGAGAAAACCATTTATAGCCAAAAAAAGTTTTTTTATGTGTAGTTAAACTATTCTGAGTAAATCATTTAGGATTAACATCAAATTCATTTGGATTTTTTCCAAATGAACAAAATTGTCTTAATAAATCACACTTACGAGCAAATTTTATAGGACAAACATCACATTCATCATGTGGCCTTTCATCTGAATTAGGGGTCTCCAAACTTTTCAGCCCGAGGGCCGCATTAACTATCAAAAATCAGTTCGCGGGCCAGAGTAGAGTTTCTTCCATGCATCCTTTGGGGTGGCTGTGTCCACCGTGCCCCCCCCCCCCAAAGAAATAGAATTAATATAGAAATAAAAACACATTTTAAATGCAACCCCCCCTCCTTCCAGGAGAAAAAGTCTGAAAGAAACACTGTCCGGCCGACAACACACTCAAGGTCCAAGTTTGTTCTCCTTGGGCAAACACAAAAACCCTGCCGCTATTTTTTAAACTTATCTCTAAGGAGGTCATTTGCTTGCAATTCAATGACCTCCATCTGAACTCATCTGGGCAACTGGTTACATTTGCTTTAAATGGGTTTTGAAGCAGTCTCACTTCTTCTGCCTTTGAATCCTAGTCAGAAAACCGTTACTGAAACTGCAGGTCTTTGATGATCTTGCATTCAAATGATGTGGGGAACTCAACTTTACTGAAAGTGCGTCAAGTTGTTGCCCTGTACTTGTTCCAAAAACATGGAACAGCTGTCCAGCGACTCTATTTGAATTACAATGTTTTCATAGATGTTTGCAACACGGAGAGCAAAGGTATTTAAACCCAAAGCAAAGTACCTCAACCACTTCTAACAAACATTTTTTTCCGTAAACAAAAAGATCTCCGTGGGCCGGATGAAAGGACCTCGTGGGCCGCATCTGGCCCGCGGGCCGTAGTTTGGAGACCCCTGATCTGAATGAATATTTTTTTGTGTTCTTAAATTAGAATATTGAGAAAACATTATATTAAACATCACATTCATGTGGTTTATCTGCAAAATGAATAATTTTATGTTGTAATAGATCTTTCTTCTCCACAAAGATTTTATGACAAACACCACATTCATGTGGCCTTACTACTGAATGAATATTTTTATGTTTACCTAAGTTAGAACTTCAAATAAACCTTTAATGACAAACATCAAATTCATATGGCTTATCTCCAGAATGAACATTTTTATGCTTTTTTAAAACATAATTTCTAGAAAACCTTTTATGACAAACATCACATTCATGGGGTTTATTTCCTGAATGAATCTTTTTATGTGCTCTTAACTGAGAACTAGAAAATCTTTTATGACAAACATCACATTCATGGGGATTATCTCCTGAATGAACCATTTTATGTTCTCTTAAAGTAGAACTTCTAGAAAACCTTTTATGACAAACATCACATTCATGGGGTTTATCTCCTGAATGAACTTTTGTATGTTCTTTTAATTGAGAACTATATAAAAATCTTTTAAGACAAATATTACATTCATATTCAGAATGAACAATTTTATGTCGCAATAGACCATTCTTATCTGCAAAGATTTTATGACAAACATCACAATCATATGCCTTTTCTACTTTTAATAGCTGAATGAACTTTTTTATGTTTACTTAAGCTAGAACTATTTGAAAACCTTTTATGACAAACATCACATTCATGTGGCTTATCTCCTAAATGCACATTTTTATGTTTTTTTAAATCAGAATTTTTAGAAAATCTTTGATGACAAACATCACATTTATGTGGTCTTATTCCTGAATGAATCATAATATGTCGATTTAAGCTAGAACTATATGAAAACGTTTTCTGACAAACCTCACATTTATATGGCCTTATTCCTGAATGAATCCTATTATGTTGATTTAAGTTAGAACTTTGAGAAAACCTTTTATGACAAACATCACATTCATATGGTTTATCTCCAGAATGAAAATTTTTATGTGCTCTTAAATCAAAACTTGAATAAAACCTTTTTTGACAAACATCACATTCATGTGGTTTATCTGCTGAATGAACTTTTTTATGTGATCTTAAATTAGCATTTCTAGAGAACCTTTTACGGCAAATATCACATTCATATGGTTTATCTCCTGAATGAACATTTTTATGTTTTTTTAAATCAGAAATTCTAGAGAACCTTTTATGACAAACATCACATTCATGTGGTTTATCTGCTGAATGATATTTTTTATGTGATCTTAAATCAGAACTTGAATAAAACCTTTTTCCGCAAACATCACATTCATGGGGTTTATCTCCTGAATGAATCATTTTATGTGTTCTTAAATGAAAACTTTGAGAAAACCTTTTATGACAAACATCACATTCATGAGGTTTATCTCCTGAATGAATCATTTTATGTTTTTTTAAATCAAAATTTCTAGAAAACCTTTTATGACAAACATCACATTCATGGGGTTTATCTCCTGAATGAATCCTTTTATGTGATCTTAACTGAGAACTAGAAAATCTTTTATGACAAACATCACATTCATGTGGCCTTTCTCCTGAATGAACCATTTTATGTTCTCTTAAATGAAAACTTTGAGAAAACCTTTTATGACAAACATCACATTCATACGGCTTAACTCCAGAATGAACATATTTGTGATATTTTAAACCAGATCTATGAGAAAACCTTTTATGACAAACATCACAGTTATATGGCTTATCTTCAAAATGAACATTGTTATGCATATTACTTTCAGAACTTTGAGAAAATGTTGGATTATAATAAACAATTTTATTTTCGTTGTCCCCAGACAATTGTAGATTATCTTTAAGTCCATTTTCTTGTTTATCCTCAAAAAATAAAAATTCTGTTGTGAAATCTTGTTTTAAATTTTCAGAAGATGATAATTCTGGTTTTAAATTTTCAGATGGTGAAAATACTGCTGATGCAGCTGGTTTCTTATTAATTTTTTCAATTGAAAATGTAATTTCAGGTTTAACATCTTGAGAAGTATTAAATGACATTTTAGGTTTTATATCCTGAACATTAAAAAATGATAATTCTGGTTTTATGTCATTAGAAGAAGAAAATTCTGAATTAAAATCAGGTTTAACATCTTGAGAAGTTTTAAATGACATGTTAGGTTTTATATCCTGGAAATTAATCAATGTCAATAATTCTGTTTTGATGTCAGCAGAAGAAGAAAAATCTGGTGTAACATCAGGTTTAACATCTTGAGTGGTTTTAAATGTCATGTCAGGTTTTATATTCTGAGAATTATAAAATGACAATAATTCTGTATTGATGCCAGCAGAAGATGAAAATATGGTCGATAGATCTGGTTTCAAATCTTCGGAAGATGAAAATCCTGTTAATTCATTTGACTGTACATCTACAGTAGATGAAACTGCAGCTAACACATCTGTTTCCACCTCCATGCTGGACAGCTTCTTAGATATGAACTGATGATTAAAAAATGTAAATGTTAAACTGGTGATTAAATAACCAAAACAACTTATTACTAACGAGCAGACCCGCGGCGTATCATACACCGCTATTTAGTTGATTTATTTTCTACTTTTCAGTAATTCATAATTTGTGAATTCGACAGTACCAATGCTGCCACTGAAAATATTTGCTTTAAAACACTAACCCCCCTCCTTTCCCCTAACCCCAACCCTACACCCCCCCCCCCCCCACCCGTGAAAGCAGCCTCCTCTTAGTTACCTCCTGTAAGTTTAAAGTCGGTTCAAACTTAATTATCTGCCCCTAATAGCCGTCACTAAACCTGGCTGTACGGTTTGTAAACATTAACGTGACCACAGCTCAGCAGACCATGTGGGGGTGGGGTAGGGTGGTAGTGATAGTGATAGAGAGAAAGAGAGGGGACTGTAAGGAGGAGCTTGCAGCTTGTTTTCTAATGGCTTGCAGAGGAGAATTATATATATAGATAACATGGCAAAATTTGTAATACATGCCAGACTTTTGTCAGTCTGATTACTAAGATGTAATTTTAAAATAGACAACCAGTAATGCAAAGCAATCAGGACTGCAGATTAATATCTTAAGCTACCAGTTTCTTAAAAATTATTTTTAAAAATAGAAATACTAAGATATTAATAATAACAAAAAGTCAAAACTTGATTTGCTGTAGTTAGTCCTTAAATGTTAGTAATAAGTGCTTAATCTTTTCCAAATATGTAATAAAAGTTTTAAAATTAATTTTAACTACATTTCTAAACTGTCATAAATAACTTAATAAACACTTGCTTTCTTTAGGTAGCTTGGCACTAATTTGCACTTAATTTTTTTTTTAGTTTTGTGACAATATTTGTACACAATAGGACTTGTAAGTACTTGTTCTCTCTCACTTAAATTCAAGTCCTGTTAGCCGGGGAGAGATAAAAGAAATTGGAACTAAATCAATTGTTGTGACGGGATTTATATTGATAACAAAAAAACATGGCAGTTTCAAGATTTAAAAATCATCAACAGCTTCCTTAATGCAACAATTGTAAAAACTTTCAATGCTATTTTATTCATATGGCTGGGAACTAATATATGTGCATGTGTTAAGTTTTGTGTATATGGATATATTAATTTGTTTACAGGTAGTGCAATGAAGGCTAGGGGACGTTATTGTTATTCTACTCATCTGGTTTAGCCTTTGTAAACTACGGAAAGAACACAACACTAATGGTGTCCTCTTCCAGTTGTAGAATGTAAAGAAATGAGCTTTTTCATTCAAATTTGATTTAAATCTAGATTTTATAAATTAACTTATCAAGACCTACACTATAAAATGTATACAATTTTCTAGGTCAAACTAACAGAGGTTGCACACACGTGACCAAAACCACCTGTTGACATCCGCCGCCATGTTGACGCCCTAGCCTAGCACTGGTCTTCTCTATGTATTTTATAGTGCTAGTCCTAAGTTTATTTTAAAAACCATTCACCCGCAGAACAGCAACAATATTTGAAGAAACTTAATTATTCAGGAACCTATTTTTTTTGCTTTTTGTCCAGCTGATAGACAATATGAATAAAAATAAATAACTGACAAAAATGTAAACATCTATCGGAATCTATCCAATCAAAAACCACAACTCTAGTGAGTCAGCCTCAAGATTCTAGAATTTAGATTTAGCTATATACCATATACTAGTTCATTTTAAATACGCAAAAATGCACTTAACATGACTTTACAGATGGACTTGTGATTATTTATGAAGACATTGGAAGCCCAGGGCTAGTAGTTGTGGCCAAAGTAAGATCATTCTTTATTATTTAGATCTAGTAATATTTAGTTTGCTAGCATATTTAATTTATTTTATTATATTCTAGTGCCCAGTAATACACTTGTAAGCTGTCACACTGTCAAAGTGTTAGATACTCAGTAGATAGATCTAGATGATTAACTCAAGTCACACTACATTAACTATGAAACACCATTTACTTGATGAACACTGTTAAAACTTAAATTTTAAAGCATGACTTAAGATCACACAATTTCTTAAATTTTGCCTTGTCCTCTGAATTTACTGGATTTCTAGACTAATACTAATGTTAGCACTTATATTTGCTACTCAAAATATTTAGACTATATATTTCTATATTTAATAATAGGCCTAAATATGTGTCTTTTTAAATTATTCATACCCAGTTAACTTACAGCAGACATCAATAATTTTAATTGCTTGAATTCTATTTATAATTATAGCCACAGCAGGGTAATTAGTAAGCCTACTTGATTTATTTTGCAGGTCTGGGTATTCACTGAAAGCATTATAAAAGCCTGCTGTATTGAGCCATGAATTTTGAGTGACCAAGGTGGACTCATTATTGCCACCTGCTCCAATTGTCTGGACGGATATGCAAAACTTTTTCTAATGTAGTAAAATTATCAATAAAAAAACCCAAAATAAATGAATTGATTTTATTTGCTTTATATTTAAAAATTTACAAACTGAACCTTTAAAAAGTTGAATGGCAAAAATAAAAGAAGCATATCTTAATGAACTAGATAAAATTATTTTAAAAAATAACACTTTGTGTAGGTCAGTGCATTTTAAAATTCAAATAAATGTTCATGTTGACAGCTAATATCTAATGGGTAAGTGTTGAGGGCCTGATTACTGCGGCATTGAATATTTGCATTACTTACACCCATATTCAATGGGGTAGTCTTGATTGCCTGATTACAGCTGCACTTGATATTTGGTTATTCAGCCAACAATTGTACCTAAAGGACCTCCGCTTCTTCGTTAACGTTTTTCTTTGCTCATCTTTGTAATATATGTGTGTGTTTTTCAACTGATTACTTTTTGCAAAGTAATATGATTATGTCTAAGAAAAAGAGTGAGAGCCAAGTTGATGCTTGTTTTCAACTGTGAAATTTTTCAAGTCTACTTTGATAAATGAAATTCAAAATAAATAAAGATAAGATATGAATAGTGGGTTTACCTGGCTTAGTTGAATAGCAGAAATATGACAATTAAAACATACTACATTTTACAATAATGTGCTTACTTGTAATATTGACTGACTAGATCTAGAAGTACTACTAATATTTAATCATGCTAAAGGCACTTTTAGTAGCCTAATTACTAGATCTAGTAGTAGTTCACATTAAATAAAGATTGACTATGTATGAGATACAAATGTAAAAAAAAAAGATATTTTACTACTTGCTCTTCTTTACCTATTAAAATCTAGAAGAAGCTAATACTAATTAAAAAAATATAGGCCAAGACTAGGCTAAAGTAGGCCTAGCTACTTTAAATTTAATTAGATTAATTAAATCTATGTCATAGTATTTCTGTATATCTGCTAGACTCTAGCCTAATGTTAATGTAACCAGTCATTCAACCAATACATTATTCTTGATTGCTATCACTAAATTATATAGTAAATACAATTATTTAATTGTATAGTTTATGAGTATTAGACTATAATTACTTAATTAACAATTAGAACCTAGAGTATATTGATAGTTGATAGTTAGTATACTTCACCAGTAATAGTTTAGTTAAAGTTAGACTCATAGGCCTAAGCCTAATTAAATTAAAATTTTATCATTACTTTTTCTCTCTTAGTATTTCTGAAGGCCAAATATATTTTAAATTTAATTAAGGATCTAGTAATCTAATATATAAAGCTCAATTCTGTATGTAACATGTAATATGTAAAGTGTAAAAAGTTTGTCGTAGATACTTCAAGTGTTAAATTCTTAAAGTCCTTATGGTCTAAATTTATGAGTTAAAAAATTAATATTGAAAGTGTTGGGAAATAATTTTCATTTTTCAAACTGAAAGTAATAATTGTCGGCATGTTCATTAAACACAAGTTTTAAAAAATATCATCTTTTAAAAAAATTTCAAATATGTCTTTATTTAGTCCTTTAGCACTTACTTCCCTTTGATAAATTAGGAAAACACAATTACTTCCCTTTATAAAAAACATTGCATTAGTGGAAAAGAATTTACTTTTTATTACTTTGTTTTGGTGTTGGAAAAAAATATAATTACATAATTAGCGGGGATTGATCAAGTGCAAATGTTGTAGGTATTTTACGGATAAGCTTGGAGTATTATAATTGTTCATTAATTAAATTGAAACGGGCGCGTTCGTTTAAATGAGCGCAAAAGACTATGAATAAGTTGGGGTACTACAGTCATTTATTAACTCTTTTCAATTCTCTCCCTTAGCTATCGTTCTTATAAGATCGACGCAGAAATGTGTATTTTTTAATAATAATCCCTAAGCTTTTTTATTTTTTTAAAATTGCATTATTTTCCTAATTGTTTTAGCATTTATAAAAAACACACATAAAATGCGAAACTTATTTTCTTATTATGAAAAAAGCGAAAGAAAACGCTTGAACCGAGCATGCCTTGCTTACGCCATTTCGGATTTTTAGTGAAGTCGATTTGAGACAGACTCTTTGAATTAAATGAAAATAAAATGTTTAACACCGCAAGTGATATGAGATTTTGTGATGAATTGTCTGATGAAGATATTGTGGAAACAGAATTCGAAGATTCAAACGATGATTTGGGAAATATCTCAGTTAATAACTCAACACAACATAGGGACATGAAGCGGTGAGTTGACAACTTTTTTTTTCAATGTTAAGAATAAGACTGAACATGTTTAATTAAATTGCCCCACTATGAAATTAATCATTATAACAAACACTCATATTAATTACACCAGCCTGTTCTGGAAATATCGATATAATATGAAGTATTTATATTATTTATTAAATATAAAATAAATTAAAATAGTGAATCCCTGAGCCCTGTGTCATTTCGTCAAGCTGTACTTTACAGTGGATATGGTGAAGACAATTGTTATGTATACCAACCATTATGCGATTGTTGGTGACGTCACTGGCCTTTTTTTCCCCAGCAAGAAATGCTGGTTTTCGCAAATTAATTTTTTTAAATCTGTGTTTCTC